GGATTAGCCAAATACAAATAAAAACCCACTATGCTAATTAATGTCACAATCATGTGATAGCCAATTTTATTGTATGTAATAAGTACTTAGACCGATAATGTGACATATTTATCTTGTTTCAATATTTCAGAATAAGGTTCTAAAGCGGTGTTAACATGTTCCTTTATAAATTTATCAACTTGCTGTGGTGCTCGGCCTATAAATGTAGATGGGTCTAGTAAAGAATCAAGCTATAAAAATTAAGAATAAAACTAATTATTAAATTAATCCAAACTTCAACCATTTAACCATACACATAAATGGACAGTATAAGCGACATTTCTAAATATCACGTTATTGTTGCCAATTGGACCCAGCAATCAGATCAATTGGACACATGTCTAATTGGACCGACTGCTGGGTCCAATTAGTCCAATTGACAACACTGGTCGTTATACTGTAAAAGATTCATAAATATCATACCTCATCATAAATACACTTGAAATACTCAGTTTTCTTAATCCTTTCGATCAAATCATTCTCTTTTCCTTCTTCTTTAACAACTTTAGCTGCTTGATGGCTTAAAACTCGAATCATCTCGTGACATTCTTGCCTATCACCACCCTTTTTAGTAACCGCCATAATTATATTTTCTGTAGCCATGAATGGAAGTTCTTGTGATATATGATGTCGAATCACTTGTGGATATACTACTAAACCTTCGAAAATGTTTTGAAGCAAAGAAAGGACTATGTCAGATGTCAAAAATGCTTCGGGGAGAGAAATTCGGCGGTTGGCGCTATATATATATTTATAAGACAGCGTAAATTCAAAAATAAATAAATAAATAAATAAATAATTAATTAATTAATTAAAATTAAAATAGGGGAATGCATTCACTCATTCATTTACAAACAAACCTATCATCTAAAGTTCTTTCAAACCATTGCACACTATTAGTCATTAAAGCGTCTTGTGCCAAAACCATTAAATGCCTACTTAAACTACAAACCCTTTCACATCTCATAGGATTTCTTTTATACGCCATCGCACTGCTGCCAATTTGATCTTTTTCGAATGGCTCTTCGATTTCTTTAAGATTAGCCAATAATCGAAGATCAGTTGCAATTTTGTGTGCTGTAGCGCCAAAAGAACTTAGAGG